CCCCATAGCTAGAAATCCAAAACTGTCCAGTGGCACCTCTAAGACCAAGTTTTATTCAGGTACAAGCTCTCCCTCCTCTGTGAGGGCAGATCTGCGTGTCCCCCCCCCATAGCTAGCAATCCAAAACAGTCCAGTGAAGCCTGAGCGGTGGGTGTTGCTTTTTGACACACTTCCAGTGATGTCAGGGGGGTGGCATATGCAAATAAGTTATGCTAATGAGCTCCCGTGCCTCTTTTTCTACGAAATGACCCCTGGACGGGAGGCAATGTCAGGGGAAGGCCTCGGCCTCTGTGCCCTGTTGTTGGACCTCCAGAGGACCTGGTTGGCTGCTGTGTGAGACGGGATGTGGGACTAGATGCGCCACCGGTCTGATCCAGCAGGCGAGAACTCCAGTTATAGGTTAGAAAAAAGAGGGCCAGACCCTGAATTTAACCCGCCTCGATAGCGGCCATTCCTGAGCAGAGAAGGCCCCGGAGCGATGCAGCTGGACGAGATGTCTTGGGAGAGACGGGGCAGAAATATATCCTGCAGCAGTGCCCATTAACCCAGCGCAGTGCCATAACTGCTCCAAGGAAATCCACCGTTAGTAAATGTGCCTCCTTTATCACAGGCTGGGCGGCCTTGCCTGTGCGCCAGGGTCTGAGCGGCGGAGGTGAGTGCTAGCACACGCGCAGCCCTGCAGTCATGCAGAAGAGGCTGGACGCCGCACTCGGCTCGCACGAGGGCCCGGCGATATCAGCAGCGGCACACGAGCCCGGAGGTAGCATCTGGAGCCGCTCGCTGCTTCTGGCACCGCCACGGCAGAGCCTGAGCGCAGAACTGGGCAGCTTTGCTTTCTCCTCTCCCCTTCCCGACTCCGGCCCTGGCAGATCAGAGGAAGGCCAACCAAAAGGAAGCGGAGGGATCGATACGGGCCTTCTGCCCGGATCGGAGACCGTGAGAGCAGGGCAGCAGGCGTGCGGCTGGATAGGCTAAACCTGGCCGGCTTTTTTCTGACACCCGTTTTCCCCCCTCCCGCCCCCCAACAGGTCCACCCAGATGGGGTTGCCGATCCTTATGGGCCGTACTGACGAGTGGCGCCCTCCGCTGCAGGAGGAGTGAACGGCGGGGCTGAGCCATGGCCAGCTTTCTGCAGCTCCTGCTGGCCTGGTTGGGAGGCTGCGGCTGCGCGGGCCGGCTGGCGCCCCCCAGTCAGGGATCGAAGGCCGGGTCCTTGCGAGGAAACGCCTCGCAGCGCTGGGAGCGGCCCCTGCTGAGGTCCCGCCGGAGCTGGGTCTGGAACCAGTTCTTCGTCATCGAGGAGTATGCCGGACCGGAACCCGTCCTCATTGGAAGGGTGAGCCTCAGTTTGGTTGCACCTCCTAGTTTGGTTTGGAGGAAGGAGAGGAAGGGGAACGGCTTAGGACAGACTCCCCTGAGACGCGTGTTCCCAGCTTTGCGGGTGGGAGGGGGGAGTTGGCCTTGCAGGGTATCCTTAGCCTCCTCCCCTTCTCCCTCGTTCTTCTGCGCTGTTCACTGGTGTGGCCTTCGTTCCCAAGACCCTACAAGCAGGGGTCCCCAACGTGGTGCCTGTGGGCGCCAGGGCACCTGTTGAGAGCTTGGCTGGCACATGCCAAGTGTTTTCAGAAACCAGGTAGAGCCAAGTGGGGCTCTTGCCTACCACCGCTTCTGATGGGCTGCTGCTGATTGGCTATCCAGGTGGCAATTACGTCACTTTGGTGGCAGCCACCACCAGCATTGGTTTTACTCTCTCTCTCTCTCTCCCCTTTCCCAGGGTATCTTAAAAATTTACCCTGCCAGTTTGGTGTAGTGGTTAAGTCTGGGGACTCTAATCTGGGAGAACCGGGTTTGATCCCCCACTCCTCCACTCGCAGCTGCTGGATGACCTTGGGCAAGCCATAGTTCTGTCAGAGCTGTTCTTGAAAGAGCAGTCCTCGAAAGAGCTCTCTCAGCCCCACCTGCCTCACAGGGTGTCTATTGTGGGGAGGGGAAGGGGAAGGAATTTGTAAGCCGCCCTGAGACTCCAAGTGAAGGGCGGGGTACAAACCCAATCTCTTCTTCTTCTCTTCTGCACTTGGATTTCCTGTGTGTGTTTTTGTGTGGCTTTGCCTCCCGCGGCAGCTATTTTGTGGCCGCTCCCGGGTCAGTATTCCCACAGGGTCCAAAAAGGTTAGGGACCCCTGCAGTGTTCCCTCTAAGCTGAGTTAGTGTGCGCTAGCTCACAGTTTTTTAGCCTCTGGCTCACACGTTTTTGTCTTCGCTCAGGAAGGATGGGGCTCCAGAGCAAACTGATTTATGCAGTAGCCAAATCGCTCGCTCACAACTTTAACGCCTCAGCTCCCAAAGTTGAATTCTTGTTCATAAGACGCCACAGCTTAGAAGGGAGCATTGGACCCCCGCCCTACGGCCTACCCCACAGTGGGCAGATTTTCGTCTGGACATTCTCAGGTTTTCCTCAGCATTCTTGGAACTGACTGAGAAAATTAGCGTAAAACCTCTGACAGGTCTGGAAACGAACCGAAAGCCATGCACTGTAGATTGGGCTGCAGAAGCCACAGAATATCCTTTTATAACTGGGCTTTTGGTCAAAAAAGGACTGTGGTTCAAACGGCCGAGGATTCAGGCAGGCAGGCTGCTGTTTTAATCATTGGTTCACTTCGTTTCTACCCTGCCTTTTCCCCCAGTGGGCCCCTCCTGTCCTCCGTTTTACACCCACAACCAAAGCTCCCTCTAAGCTGTGGCGTCTTGTGAGCAAGAATTCTGCTTTGTGAGCCACTGGCATTGAAAGTTGTGAGCGAGCGATTTGGCTGCTGCATCAATTAGTTTGCTCTGGAGCCCCATCCTTCCCGAGCGAAGACAGGAATGTGTGAGCCGGAGGCTAAAAAACTGTGAGCTAGCTCACACGAACTCAGCTTAGAGGGAACACTGCTCACAGCAACCCTGCGAGGTAGGCTAGGCTGACCCAACCTCACCCAGTTAGTTTCCATTCCAGAGTGGGGATGCAAACCTGGGTGCCCCGGATCGACATCTGTAACACAGAGATTATCAAATAAGACGGGGGGGGGGGGGAATGGGGAAGGAAGGGGGAGAGATTCTCCTTTGTACGCAAACGTGTGGGACACAGAAGGATCTGTGTGCCCTGTCTGGAGACCTTGCGCACGGACATACTTCCTTGTATGTCTGAAATGGGTCTCTGCTTTCCCTGCCCCTCTGTGAGGTCAGTGCATCCCACCCAATGGCAGCCAGAGGCCCCTCCACTCGAACCAATCGCTGCAAGAGGCTTGATTGCTGCCCTTTAGCACATTAGAAGGCCCATAATTTTGCCCGCTCCGCTCACTCTCTGCTCTGTTTCTCGGACAGCTTCACACGGACGTGGACCGCGGCGAGGGCCGCATCAAGTACGTGCTGACCGGAGAGGGGGCGGGCACGGTCTTCGTGATCGACGAGAAGACGGGCAACATCCACGTCACCAAAACGCTCGACCGGGAGGAGAAAGCCCAGTACACTTTGCTGGCTCAAGCCGTCGACCGGGCCTCCAACCGGCCTCTGGAGCCGCCGTCCGAATTCATCATCAAAGTCCAAGACATCAACGATAACCCGCCGGTCTTCTTGCAGGGTCCCTATCATGCCACCGTGCCCGAGATGAGCAACGTGGGTGAGTGTGGTGGGCCTCGTCGGGGAGGGCCCCTCCTGTTGACCCACAGAAGGCCTTTCGGGGCCCATCCCGGGCAGAAGAACTTCTTGAGGTACCCCTGCAGTGATTCGCAGGCACTGAAAAAAAAGAATACTAATAATACAGACATCAAGGACACTCCGAACTGGAGCGCAAGCATCTCAGGGCTGTCTCCCCCCCCCCCCCAAAAGGAAAAAAAAAAAAGGGAAAAAGAAGGGATGACAGGAAAAAGCTCGATTCGGCGGGCCCTGTGGCAGGCTCAGAGCTCGTTCCCGCCTTCCTCTTGTCCCCATTCTCTGCGGGAGAAGTCAGAAAATGGAGGCGAGAGAAAGAGCCCTCCTGCCGAGTCCCAGCAGGATACGATTCAGATTCATCTCCTCCTCGCCTCCCCCTGTGGGAAAAACACAGAAGGGCTCGTTCTGTCAGGCCCCCATCAAGATGGGAGCTCCGATCCCTCCCCCCCCTCTCTTCCAGGCAGGGAGAACACAAGTCCAAGGGGCTCTCGCTGGCAAAGCTCCTCTCCGTTGACGGTGTTGTTCATTTGTGTCCGAGCGGGGACTGGTTTGATTTTTCCGCCTCAGGCTCCCAACCGCCCACAGCTGGCCTTATGCCTCGAGTGTCGACAACCATGAAAGTTTAAGCGCGAGCCACGGCGTGGCTAGGTTCTTGTTTCTTGCACACGCTGTTCCAGGTTCCTGCAGACCACTGGGCGAACAAATCGGGATCAGATCTTTAGGAGCCGCCGTCTCTTCAGCATTTGTGTTCCCAGACTGGCGAGTCTGGAGTGTTGCAGGGGTGGTGTCCGGACCAGCGTTCCCTCTAAGCTGCGTTAGTGTGAGCTCGCTCAGTTTCTTACCCTCCGGCTCACACACTTTTGTCTCCGCTCAGGAAGGAGGGCTCCAGAGCAGACTAATGTATGCAGCGGCCAAATGGCTCGCTCACAACTTGAATGCCGGCAGCTCGCAAAGTAGAATTTTTGCTCACGAGACTCCACAGCTTAGAGGGAGCACTGGTCCAGACTCCTTAAAGCTCTGCAGCTCATATCTGTGAACAGCAGATAAACGTATATATATTTTTTGTTCTGAATTAAAATTGCTGGCACGCTTCACTCTTGCAGGCAAAGTTAGTCTGCAAAGGGAAGAATTGCTCAGCCGTAGAGGAATTCCTCCCTCTCCCCATCCCAGGATCTGGGGATGATTCCCGATGGGCAAGAGGCTGGAACAGTGACTCAGGCAGAGACCTAACATGGAGACTCGTCTCCGGGCAGCATCATTCTGTTGCATCTCTGCGCTGGGCGGGATCGACCCACGCTGACTCACAGCAGAATGATCCATCTCTGGCAGAGGCTGATGGCTGGAGGGCAAGCTCAGTGCAGTGACTCATACAGAGACACAGCAGGAAGCCTGCTATAGAGATGGGTACTTTGAGAGGCACAGGTGTGTTGAATTATTTATTTCATTCTTGCAGCACACAGTTTGGAAATGACTGTTTTAGCTTGCCTGTAGATGGCGTTCCCTCTGCAAGCATTCCTCTGCAGAGTCTGGGGGATATTCCCCGCTCGTATTCTCTTTAGGGCCCCTGCTGTTGTTTGGTTTGTTGTTTTACGACTGCTCTTCCATTTTTAATGTGTTTTATCGATCGGGTTTTTATGGAGATCTGAGACGTCAGCCGCCTTGCTGACTCTTCCGAGCCATGTGGTGGTGTTGGATGTACAAACGGCAAAAGCGAAAATAAATAAATCAGGGCCTCGTCAAGACTTCCCACATCCCAAACAACGGGACCTGTCGAACACGCGGCATGCGCAGATTCTACATTTTGCAGCTATCTCGCCGCATTCTTCCTGACAGGCCACCCGCAAATGGCATTTCGGCAGCCAAGATGGAAGGCCCACTTTGCCAAGTGGTGCCGCAGCTAGTTGCGCCCAACACTTTCAGCATGCTTGTGTTACCAAGGTCAACCCCGCGACCTGATGCGGACGCAAAACTGGCCACTTAACTGAGCGCTCTGCTCTTGTGTCGTTCTCCCCCGTTTCTGCAGGCACATCTGTGATCCAGGTGACGGCCCACGATGCGGACGACCCGGCCTACGGGAACAGCGCCAGGCTGGTCTATACGGTACTCGAGGGGTTGCCGTTCTTCTCCGTCGACCCCCAGACGGGTACACAATGGGGAGGGGGGACAGAGGTGGGATGGAGGGGCGCGTTACAAACATCACCCCATTGTTCAGGGGAAGGAGAGACTGCAGGGAGAGAGGTGTGTGGTCTGCCTGCGAGGGGAGGAGGGCTGACGGATTCGAATGGGTTTGGATATCCTTGTGATGCAATGCTCCCTCTAAGCTGTGGAGTCCTGTGAGCAAAAACTCTACTTTGTGAGCTACTGGCATTGAAGTTGTGAGCGAGGGATTTGGTTACTGCATAAATTAGTTCGCTCTGGACTGGAGCCATCCTTCCTGAGCTAAGACAAAAACGTGTGAGCTGGAGGCTAAAAAACTGTGAGCTAGCTCACACTAACTCAGCTTAGAGGGAACACTGCTTGTGAGAGACCTGTTGAGGTTGGAAACACCAAGCTGGGAGAAATCCATTTAAGCTTAAGATGGGAGACGCAGCCCAGAGAGCTATACCATCCAACTGCTGCCTACCTGAATAAGGTCCTCCATCAATCCTAGGTCTGGATTTCATGTTTCTGCTGCACAGGCCCGATCTTAAGAGCAGGTTCCGGGGCTGAGGTCTGGTAAGCCTCTGCTCAAATTAAGCCTGAGGCAGGGGGAAGAAGTGCACAGTTCTGATTGTGAAGGTGCTACGGTTGCCAGTCTCCGGGTGTGTAGAAGACAAAAATGAGAGCTCACGGGAGGAAGTGGAATACCAAAAACAACATCCATGACAAAAATAACGAAGAGTCAATAAAGATAAGTTGCAAAAACGTTTACTATAGTAATGTTGTAGAAAATTTTCTTCTATAATTGCTCACAACGCAATGAATACCGCGCTCTGAAAACAATTTGTTTATTTGCTTTATCTGAGTGTGTAGTTATCCCAATTCTTATCAATGACTACGCAACGAATACCGCGCTCCGAAAACAATTTGTTTCACAATATTCACTTTATCTGAGCGTGTAGTTATCCCAATTCTTATCAATGACTACCTATCAACTCTTGAAGGAAGTGTTCCATGCTGACTCTCTAAGAACAGAACCCGAGGTCTTCACGTCGCTACACGCTCAGATAAAGCAAATATTGTGAAACGAATTGTTTTCAGAGCGCGGTATTCGTTGCGTTGTGAGCGATTATAGAAGAAAATTCTCTACAGAATTACTGTAGGAAACATTTTTTGTGTGGATTTATTTATTTTTGGATTTATATCCCGCCCTCCCCAAAGGCTCACTTATCTTTATTGACTCTTCGTTATTTTTGTCGTGGATGTTGTTTTTGGTATTCCAGTCTCCAGGTGCGGCCTGGAGATCCTCTGGGATTACAGCGGATCACCAAACAACCGAGCTGAGTTCCCCTGGAGAAAATGGCTGTTTTGGAGGGTCGACTCTATGGCATTATACCCCCCAGAGGTCTCTCGTCTTACCAAACACCACCCTTCCCAGGCTGCACCCCCAAATTGCCAGGAATTCCTCAACCCAGAGTTGGCAGCCCAAGAAGGCTCTGTCTTCTTTGTTCGAGAGTGTGCCCTTCCTCTGCCTCGTTCTTTGAGACTGCTGGTGTAGCATATTTATCATAATTTGAAATCTAGGTAGTGCTATGCCAGTATTCCAGGGCTGGGAATGATAGATGAGTGGGCTGACATTCATTAATGGAGCAAATGCCGCGCAGGGGTGTATGCGATTAGACGGAGTGCTTCGAGGGGATCAATCAACCTCCGGGTTGCCTCGTTGTCTCTTCTGCAGAGCCTGGGCACTTACTGGGGGCCACCTGGGCCAGTTTATTAACTCGACTCCCCATCCATGTATTCATATTTATGGTCACAGGCATCCAAGGAGCGCACTGGGTCAATGCTCTTCTCATTTATCCATTTCGTCCCTTGGGGAGAGGGGCCGTGGCTCAGTGGTAGAGCATCTGCTTGACATGCAGTGGGTCCCAGGTTTAATCCCCGACATCTCTTGTTGAAAGGACCAGGTAGCAGGTGATGGGAAAGACCTCTGCCTGAGATCCAGGAGAGCCGCTGCCGGTCTGAGTAGATAGTAGTGAACTTGAGGGACTAAAGGTCTGATTCAGTATAAGGTTGCTTCATATGTCCATGATCTCTACCCACAAGCGTCTGGTTGGATCTTCCACATCTTGGTTTCTTCGTTATTCACTCTTCTTAAATGAGCAGGATTAACTGTGATTGTGGAGTGTGCTAGGAACATTTGGGAATGTACATATCCATCCATCCGCCAGCCCTTGTCCTCTTTGCTCTTTCTGATACTCGCTGTTCTCTTCTTGCTCACCGGCAACGGCAGGTGTGATTCGTACCGCGACCCCCAATATGGACCGGGAAACGCAACAGGAATTCCTCGTCGTGGTACAGGCCAAGGACATGGGGGGCCACGCGGGAGGGCTTTCCGGAAGCACTACCGTCACGGTCACCCTTAGTGATGTCAACGATAACCCTCCCCGCTTTCCCCAGAGTGAGTTGGGAAAATCTGGTTAGCGGTGGGTCTCAGTCATTGTCGTGGAGTTTGGCGGCGGCGTCTGGAGGGAGGCGCTTGAGTGTCACATGGAAATGCCTGTCAGCTAAGGAAACTGAGGCAGCCTTTCTTATACAGAACGGTGAATCTTAGGGTTTGCCCTGGCCAGTTCAGATTTCAATAAAGACCTATAGGCTGAGCTTGCTGGATCAGAGTGCCCAGGACAAAGCAAGAAAGCACTGCTCAGATCTTCACAGGTCATCAGTTAATTAGTTTTACTAACTACGGACTGCTAGAGAGCTCAGAGCTCAGGCCTTGCCAAAGACCTTTGGGAGACCTTCGATCTGAGCTGTCGACCCGCTCAGGCTTAGAAAAGCTCCTTAATTACATTCGTTGCAAGAAACAGCAAACGGTGCCCAAAATAGATGTTCCAATCTGATTGCCTGTTTCAGTCTGCTGTTCAGACATGACGCTCGGCATTAAAAGATTTTTTAACAAATATTTTAGAAACATGGTTGTGAATCGATGCAAAACTTTGCAGCGTCTTCTGCAGACTCCTTGTTGTTGCGTTCAGGATCAGGGGGGGGAAACGAAATCTTCCCTCTTCCGAATATTTATATTAACCACCAGGGCTGGCGTCAGCTTACCCTGAGGTGGGACAGCTGAAAGGGCCCAGGGTTTGTGGTAGGGCCCACGGCCACAGAGCCCCCCGACCACATCCTGCCAGGAAGGAATGGTAGCACTCCTGGGGGGCACCGTGCTGGCTCAGCCGGTCACCATGGTCGCCGTGCACTGGAAACTGGATACACAGCCCGAAATCAAGTCAAACAACAGCGCTGAAGGTCAGAAAGCTGGGAAATCAGTCCAAGGATGCAGGAGCTAGGAGCAGGGAGCGGATGCTACGAGCCAGGATCAGGTCCGAGAAGGCACGGTTGCTTCCGCGCTGAGGCAGGTGCGTGGGGGTGTTTATGACCAGGTCCTCCCTTCCCTGGGAGTCAGTCTGCCAAGACTCACAGCCCTTCACGTTGCCTTTGCAAAAGCTGCAGTCTGGGACTCCTCCTTCGCTCTTGCACATCCAGCCGCTGGCGTGCCCTGCGTCTGGGACACTCAAATCCTGGCCCGGGGGGACCGCCCCCGGGGGGGGGGGGGCTGGGCCAGGCTCTGGATCAGTCTCTCTGGCTACTCCTCCTGCGCAGTTGCTGGGGCCTCTTTTCCCTCCGGTGCTGTTAAGGTTTCCTCTGCTGGGCTGGCTCCAGAGGAGGCTGGGTTGCTCCGTGCCTCTTCCTCATCTGAGGATTAGTCAGCCTCAGCAGAGCCAGGACCCAGGACAGGCACAGTGGTGGTTTTCCTATCTGCACACGCTACCCAGACCCATTGGGGAAGGGACATATGGTCAGTAGGAAGGCTCGCAAACAGGCAGGAGGAGGAAGGAAACACAGGCAGGTGGAGATGTGGGCGGGCTGGAAGGAAAGCACGAGTGGGGGACCTGGTGGTGGTGAGGGAAGAGGGTGAGGGAAGAGGGGGACCCCATAGACTCAGCCCCCCCCCGCAAAAAAAACCTGGAACTGGCGTTGGTAATCAAGCACACATGTGGAAATGCACAGATCCCAAATATTGCCTAGCAGGGGGCCCAACCAAGACTGCTGGCAATGGAGGAAGTTCTTGGAGCAGGGACCATCATTGTGGGTTTAGAATGATCAGTATACAGGAAGCGGGGACCCACGATACTTGCAGGGGGGGAGAAGGAGCTCCACGTGGAGGAGGAGGAGGAGGAAGCAGCCACAGGTGAGCCTTCTCCCCCACCCCCCCTGCACTGATGGTGAG